AACGATTTAAGCCAAAAATTTTTCCCTACAAAACTATAAAACTTTCGTCTGAAACGTTTTTTTTTTATAAAAGGCGGTATATAGCTGTAACACTTTATTTTGAACACCCGGTATATCCGATATATTCGATAATTTTATTTATTAAATTAAAAATGTTTTCCACCATTCTAAACATTCGAAAATTACTCAATACGCCCCTGTAGGAAAGTATAATAACTGTAGCGATTTATTTGTCTGTCACGCAGGCATCGTCGCGCCAACTTTGGGATTCCCAGCTTCGCCACGATTTGTTTTGTTTTTGCTGTTTAAGTGTATGAATTAAAATATAGACAAAAAGAAAACCAACTTTGATTGGGCGTGGGAACCAGCCATATCTGAAGATTCTGAGTTACTATCATCAGAGACAACAGACGTGTAACTTAATAGGAAAAAGTGTTCGGTGGTCCATTTAAATTACATATATCACTTTCTTTCTCTTTTACATTGATCTTTACATATATTTATCTCCCTCCAATAAAACTAACACCAATTTAAGAGGTCGCTGATGTTGCTGGTTTTTTGACGTTGACGTATCGATTAAAACTGACAACTGACAATGTTATGAATGTTGTTATGAACGTGTGCATTTTATTAAAATTAATTTAATTTGGGCCCCGTTTATTCCTTTGAGTCTGATTTTGTTGTTTAATTTTCTTTGGGGGGGGGGGGGATTGTTTATTTTTGCATATTATTTTTTGCATGAAGCAATTTCTGGAACCAAACTCGCGTCTTTGTACACATTTCTTTTTAGAGGTAAGTAATTTCCAATTTATTAAGAAAACCACTGTATAATGCGTGTGTTTAATAATATATTACAAAATGGCTATAATTATTTTAGGTGAATTGGAACAGAAATCCATTGTTACAGCTACTTTTGTTCATTAAGTAGGTAGATGAATGTCTGGACAGCTTTAATGGTAGCACAAAGTTCCTACCTACTAGAAAAGTAAAATGTATAGGGAGTAAAAAATCTGCACATGTAGTATTGGCAAAGGACTTTTGAAATGATTAGAGATTGGCTATTTCTTACATACACCTACCTCTAATAGCCACTCTAAAGGAAGAAAAAAAATTGAATCACAAAAGGGCAGAACTTTAAATCAGAATGCATTGGAAAATAAATTTGGGGACATCAGGTCGGTTTTGGATTTTAGAGAGAGATCAATCTCAAGAAAAGTTTAATTAATCCTGCAGAACAACCAGTAGTTTAAGTAGGATTTGCTATAACTTTATTAGAAGATTTCCTTGCTAATAAATTGTAATATACCAATTGTTTCAAATGAAATTGAAAAAGAGTTAAATACGAAATTAGATTTTTCATGGGTAAAATGTTATATTCATTCAAACATTGTAAGGTAATCTGTAATAAAGGGAATGTGGAAAATAGGTATACCCTGGTGGTGTAAGAGACAGGTAAGGGGCAATGACAAAAAAATTATAAAAATGTATTCATCTTTAAATAGTGTTTATTATTATTATTATTTGCTATGTTTGAAAAGTACCTCCTGCTGCAGAACAGATCGAATAGATTAGACTACTAGTTGGAAAAGGTCCACCTAGTAACCAAATTAGGAGACTAGGAAAACTTTTACATGACTGCGGACACAACAGGAATGCACACGCACAAGATACACAAATAAACGAAATAACAGGGGTAAGCCTTCAGCAATGTCCTGTTTAAATGATGATAGTATGTCATCCTTCATTCCCTTTTAGAAGGCATGGCAACTTACTTAACTCGGGCCTTATAAATTTGTGTTGAGTGTATGTGTGTTTGTTTCGTTTCCATGGTTTCTATTAAAATAAACAGTCATAACATATCCATACCTTTTTGCCAGACTAATGTAAGCGACATTTGTTCAAATGGCACTTATGATAGTCTGGCAAAAAGGTATCGATATACTCTATACTTTATAAAATATTTATTATATTAGTTTTTAAATATATTTTGAATATATAACAACTGTTACTTTCTTTGTCACAAAATGATAGGAGGTACTTTCTAAAGGAAGCAATTGTAGTTTGTTTTTCTGTACCTTACAAAAATATAATTTATAGAAAAAGAGTTTGGTGTATTATTTTTCCAAGTTTAAATATTTAATAATCAATAGAATTTTCAAGTTTTTTTTAGCGAAATTTACAAGAGTAATAAAAACTATGTTCACTGCTTATAATAAACTGATTAAAACTTCCTTTATTAAAATGATTATTTATATGATAAAAAAATTGATGTTATTGGAAGCTTTAATATTTTTTAATATACAGTGAAACAATAGTTTTTGTTTTTCCTGTAAATTTGTATAGAAAAACTATTTCTGAATCCATGTTTGAATTTCCCGCCCTAAAGAATTTTTATTTTTCCCGCTATTTACTAGTGGCGCCCATAGACTGGTTGTGGTTACAATCGCCCAAATAACTTTTACCGAACAAAAAAAATACATTGAGTTACACGTCTCGCTTGATTGTCTCTGCTATCATTAACAGTAATAACATTATTGATATTAATAATTCATCTAGATGCATCAGATGAGGATATACTAATATCAATGTTAACAAAATAATGTTAAAACTCTGTTTATTTTTATTTTTTTTCCTTTTAATTAGAGTTATAAATGTTTTAATAAAATTTTTTGTTGTTTAGAATTTAGAATACGGGTTTTTAATTATGTGTTTGTGTTAAAATATTAATGTTAATAAAATAATATCCATTTATTATATTAATGTTAATAAAATAATGTCCATTTATTTTATTATTTTTTCTTCTTAATTTGAGTTAGAATAAACGGTTTTGATGTTTAGAATATAGGTTTTTGTTAAAATTTAAAATATAGTTTATGCAAGAAACAATAGTGTTTTTTAATTAAATAATTAAATTTTAAAAATGATATATATCATATGATATGATATTTATATAAATATCATTATATTTTCGAACCCTGCTATAAAGCACATTGTTTGATTAAATCCAATACGCAAATTCCAAGAAAAACACTTGCAAAATACCAATTAAAGGTGTAAGACCCACAAAATAAAATAAACTTATTGAGGTTTTTTAAAATCAAAATCAGCAACACTGACGTGTTTGATTGTTGTTTTAACTAGGAATTACACGGCTCTGGGTACAATGCAAACTAACAAAAAAACAAAACTATTTATTGCTGTAAATTTTCCATCTAACTGATGTGGTGAATTTAAACTTGATATCGGCAGATCATGTGCCACAATTTTTACTTGAGAATCTAAGACGTACGACAATTAGATTTTCAAAGGTAATATACCTAACAAATGGTATGTTTAATATCGACAATTTTGTGAATATCAGTTAAAACGAATGCTAAGCACGGGTTGTATTTTTCAAAGATTGGACCTGTAGATATTTAAGCATATTTATAAAAGAAGCACGTGAACTTAAATTATACACTAACTTACTAAACCAAACACAAAAAAAACTATTATAATGTTAATATCTTTTCTTAAATAGTTTATCGATTTCCTAATTATAATAAGACGTATCTTACATATATATCGAAAATTACATTTTTGATATTAGGTCAAGCCCGCCACAAGCCTAACAGGATGTAAACAAACAAGTCGTCCACTTATACAACCAAATGATAGGCCCCGAAGAATTTATTTGAATCGAGAACATTTAATGAACCCACATTTTTTTCAAATAAAGTCTTAATTAGTTTCAAATAACTCTCCTACTCCCAGACACTATTCCTCTTTTCGATACGTGATTTCTGTTTGGTCCAATTTCGAGTTTTTTTAGTTTAAAATGTCATATATCGCTGTTCCGGTAAAACAACGACGCAAATGCAAAATTATAAATTTTTCAGAAGAGACGAAAAATGAATAGGTATTATTACTTTGAGCACATGAATCATAAACAACTTGTCCTAAATAGCAAATACGTCATTTAACCACCGAGTAAGTAATGTCTCCCGTAATATTTCAGATAAAACTGATACATGTGTCACTGTTTTTCCAAAAGTGGAGGGGCAAACGTTCATATTTGAGAACTGACGCAACTACCATCTAGCAGCCCCAACTGGATATAAAATGACGCTGTTGTTATACCCCTTATAGAGAAACTAATTTGGAATCTAATGACATGTTAAAATCAGAACGTTAAATTAGCACTTACGTCATTGTTTTACCGGAACAGCGAATATATTATCTTTATTTATTTGTTAAAACTACAGATAAATATATTTTGAAATGATTACCTTAAATCTGCCGGTTTTTTTCTAACGTGGCAACAGCGCTGTAGGTGCGTTTACCTGTGTCGACATTTTCAGAACCGCTAATACAGCTCGTTGTGGGGATACACGACATACCTTAACCGTCATCTGACGACCGTCCGGTGGTTACGTTCCTCGATTTCAAGACGGTTGGCCGTACCTTCGTCGTTTTCCCGTCCCAAAAAACGTTTTTTCGCGACGGAAAACTCTCCCGTCTTCGCTTTTCTCGCGTTTTCGTACTACGCTGATGAAATTTTGAGGTTATAATCCCGTCTGACCGCCGATCGAAGTCGCCCTGGACAAAAAACCGTCAAAATAAACTGGTGTTTAGTGTCATTTTCGAATTTAAATACGTAGTTTTTTGTTTTTTCGAGTTTCGCCAAGGTTAGGTAGTGGATAATTAAATTCATTCTGTTTCGTGTGTTTTTTTTGAAAAATTATCGGGTTTCTAAGGTGTAACTGCATTCTTGAGGTAGTCCAGTGGACCAGTGCTAGTGTGCAGGGTTGAAATTCGTGCACAACATCAAGTCTACCACTGGGTTTCCATTTCTTTTGAGCATCTGGTCTTCGTGACAGCATCTGCTCTTCAGTGTGTTCAATGGATGGGCGAAGAGGAGGGTGCTAAATTTAATTTGAAAATATGTACATATATGACGTCCTAGGGTGAAATTTAGTGTGCTGTGACTTGGTTTTTAATTGTTCTTTTTGTGGATTAAAATGGGTAACCAGAACTCTAATCATTTGCCTTTGGAGAGGAATTTATCCAAATTCGGAGAAGTCAATGGGGTAGGTAACTGATGTCTTAAAAAATATATATTTTTTAGATATTTTATAATAAAAATTCGCTTTTTAAAATATTGGTATGTAATTTTGAGATCATTACTATAAAGGAAACCAATAAAAAGATACAGGGTAAATAAGCTACAAAAAAAGTGACACAAAATGCACAGATCCGTATTTAAAAGAAATCGATTTAATTGTTTTACAAAGTACCTACCTAGGTAGTAGGTACATAATAATTGTTTTGTGTAGGTAGAATAAAATTAAATTCAACCCTTAATTAAGTTAAGTTACGTAATAGAATTGAAAATATAAATTTTGTTTAGGATGTAAAACAAAAATGCAAGTCCGTATTTAGAGAAATAAAGTTGAAGGTAGAGAAAATTTAGGTAGTCTAGTTTGAGCTCTTTTCGCTTACGGCAAAACTAAGCATACCTAGGTACTTGTAGGTATTGCTATTGCAAATAAAATACCCAAGTTCCATATCTTGTAAAATGAATAATAAGGAAACAATAGTATATTGTTTACCAAGTCGGAAAAGTAGAACATTCCTGGACGACTGTGAAGATTGCTAAGTCGAGGCGTAAGCAGAGTCCAGGAATGTTGCTTTTCCAACGAGGTAAACATACTATTATTCCGTAAATCGTTTAAAATTTGATAGATATTAATTAATTTTGAAAAAATCGCGAATAATTTTATTCACAAATAAATGGTGCTTTGAAATTCGTAATAAAATTGGTTGTTACTATGGAAACGTATGGAAACGTATTTTCTTTAAGAAATTTTGTTTGGAATGTCAAAATTTCCTATCGATTTGCGGAAATAATTTTTTTAAATAAAAATATGTCACTTTCCATTAATTTTATCAATTTTACGGAAAAGGGAAGGAATAGGGGTGCTGGGTGGGTCAAACAACGTCAATAGTTACATTATAAAATATTGTTAGGGCAAGGAATATTATTAAAAATGAATTGATGTACTTTTGATACTAAATAATTGAATAGTAAACTTTTTGTGCGACTTGGCAACAGTATAAGAAGTAAAATTAAATGATCATTTCTCAGCTTTGATTTGAGACAATTTGTTAACTATTTTTAAGATTTTTTGTTTACAATAGTGATACCTACAAGTACGTTCTTATTTATGCTTAGTTTTTTCATAAGCGAAAAGAGCTCAATATCTGAATATCTATCACAGTAGGCTTTGTATAACATTTTAATCAAAAAGTTCCTTTACTATTTTTTAATACTTTTAATAATCAAGGTGCTACAATAGTAGTTTGTGCAACAAGAGTGGATATAATAGCCATATCGCATTTTTAAAATAAAATAAACCAAAAAAAAAGAAAAAAAGTTCATTTCATTTTTCTCCATCCAAGAATCGAACTCGAGTCTACAGCGTGGAAGGCAAGAACGCTAACCACAGGACCACCTATTCTTTTATTTTTCTTGCTTTAATACTCATAATTAAATTGACTTTATACAGTTTTATTTAAATTAACAAATTATTTATTATTATAGACGAAATAAAAACAGAAATGCTATTATTTATCGATTCTACACAAGAATAACCCATTTTAATGTATGTTTAATCTCATTAACTAAAAATATACTGACACTTAGTTTGACAGAATTGTCATTTATTTAAAATTTTAAAAATAACAGCAGTCGGTTGATCAAAATATGAACGGTGATTGGTGGATTTCATTTTTTTGCAGTGTTCTCACTATCTAGAATGGATATGAAATATATTCGTTCAGTTGAAGGCAATAGCATACTTTTTCGTTTTATAATCTGTGCGTAGATAAGCTAATATCCATGTGGGTGTAGAAAAAATATATAAATACTAATTTTGCTTTTCTCTGTAGGTGCATTTGGTAAACGATAAGAGATACATACCTATTATCAGGGTTGGCACGAATTAATTCAAATGATATTTAAAAAAAAAGTCACGTATTATTTCAAACTTTTTTCAATAAGAATAAAATAAAATCCTTTAAATAATTTAGGTATTTGACGTTTAAAAATGATAGCAAAAAGTTGGTTTCATAGTTAATAAGCATGGATATCTAGTAAAATTAGTACCCTTGTTGCAATACATAAAATAAGCTCCATAAGGAATGCATTTCATTTTAAAACATTAATATTGAAAGCACTAGGTAAAGCTAAACTGAAAATTCTAAAAATCAATAGTTTCCCAAAGTCGATCGGATTTTTCGTTCCAGAGTTATCGTGTCGGCGCAATACATACGGACGGACGTTATTTTTTGCATTTTCGCAGTTAACACATTGATGGACACATCCAAAAACTAGGTATGACGTAGATACGCATAACTATAACTTCCGAGATAACTTCAGAAAGAAATTATTGGTACGCCGCAAATATTATTTCCAATATCAAATATATATGAACTATAACTATCATTAAATAAAGAATAAGTAAGTTGTTGGGTATAAAATAGTTATTTATGCAACAAGTGTGTAAAGTAACCCTTTTTTTGACGAAATGCATTAGAAATATTTTGTGATGTGCAAGGGATATTATCATCGATTAATATTAAATTAGATACATTATTTCTTTTATTTAAAGTAGAATCTACGTAGCCCTCTGTGATGATAGACGACTCCAGCCCCCATGTTTTTTGCTGATAATCTCCTAAAACAATGTCCAGTATACATTAGGGTGTCCGTTATTTACCAATTTGATTTTTGAGTTTGCAGCGCCCCTAAAATTTTTAGTGTATAACCCAAAAAAAAATCAAACCCATATAAGCCCTTAATATTGATGATAAACCGTGCCACAAAGGCAATTCATTTCCCATTTAAATAACATGGGGTTTTTGTAATTTTTGCAATCAATTTTTTCTTTCTTCAGCCAGCTCATACAAAGCTGCGGCAATTAATTATTTTTGTAGTAAATTTAACGCTCTACAAAAAATTCTTAGTAATTTTTTCGATAAATTCACTTGCTTAAAAATTATTCAAGCTCAAAGTTGATCTAAAAATAACTTATTAATTTTCTTTGTATTTTGACTGAAAAACTATCATTATTTGTTTTACAATTTATTCTTTATTGCAAAAATATCTTATTCAGCTATTTTGTTGAGTCTGTCAAAATTATTGAAAAGAGGAAAGTACAATTTATTGAGAAGAAAGTCAAAATACAAAGAAAATTAATAAGTTATTTTTAGTTCAACTTTGAGCTTGAATAACTTTTAAGCAAATTTAAGAAATATCTCATAGCACGTACTAAATGTCAGTCAATCACAGCCAACTTAGCAAGATTGTTATAAATCTTTAGTTACAATTTTTGTAACTTTTATTATTATTTAATTTAATATTATATTCACTAATACCAAAAAAATAAAGCAACTAATTTATAATATTTTTGAATATTGATATTGTTCTTGATTTTTAAAGTTAAAATGTCAAATTAAATAAAGAAGTGTCAGTCATCCATAGCCCACTTAGCTGGATCGTTAGGAACTTAAATAATTTTCGTCAACAGGTAATAAAATTTCACAATAATTTTTATTAATATAATATTTAAACTGGATTGAAATAATTATAAAAATACTTATATGATTAAATTGAAAAAAATTAAATTAAATTAATTATTTAATATACTCATTATTATTTTTATAAGAACTGTCAATACTAAAACTTGTTGCTCTGTGGTCAATATACTCAAATTTGACAATTTTCTTTACGCACTCAGTGCGTAAATAAAAACTTTACGCATTAGTGCGTGAAGTAAAGTTTTACGAACTCTGTAGCGTGCAAAACGAACGGTAGTAGAAAAAAATATTTCCTATTTTCCTATGATATTAACATTCCACTAAACTCTCAGTAGGCGGCGATAGACAATAAATTAATTCTCCAAATGATGACGTAGCTGTGTTCTTCTTATTGTAATCGGACCCTACCAGCCTAATCAGTACTCTACAAAGTATGTGTCTGTATAAGAAGTCATTGATCTCTAGTATAGCAAAAATTTATATATGGAGACAACAACTGTCATAGCTGCCATATTTGTCATCTGAAGTGACTGATATTGCCGGATATTGCAGTACTTACTGTTGCACAGAAGTACAGTGACTGCTATAGCAGTTCTTATTAGTATAACAACAGTACTAGAAATGAGCTTTATTCATAGAAAAACAGTGTAAAGTAGAAAAGTTATATATACAGGGTGGCTACTTTTTATATTGAACAGTATTGCTATATCGAAAACCGTAAGAGTTACAAAGTCGGTTAAATGGGAAAAAAGTTGTATTTTTGCAAGACTAATTTAGTGATGTTTAAAAATCGAGAACATCAGGACCGGTTTCCAAGATATTTAAGGAAAACCAAATAACTCTATTTTCGAGTGTATTGCCTTTATTTTACAAATAAGAAAAAAATTGTAATTAGATTTTTTATTTGGTATTAAGTAGCGGTTAATTTACCGTAGACAGATTTTTTATACAACGTTTCGTTTCTGGAGGGCCACCATCAAGTATATTTTTTTAATACGGACCTGTATTTTTTATTCTATTTTATAAAAGTAATAAAAGCCAGATAAAAAATACAGGTCTGTATTAAAACAATAAAATTTATAGTGACCTTGCAATAGCAATAATAAAAAGTATCAAAACGTCCTAAACTACTAATGTGTATTACATGATTGAATTTAGGATTAAAAGTACTTTTTTAAAATAGAATAAAAAATGCAGGTCCGTATTCAAAAATATATACTTGATGGTGGCCCTCCAAAAACGAAACGTTGTATAAATCTGTCTACGGTAAATTAAGCGCTACTTAATACCAAATAAAAAATCTAATTACAATTTTTTTCTAATTTGTAAAATAAAGGCAATACAATCGAAAATAGAGTCAAGTGGTTTTTCTTAAATATCTTGGAAACCGGTCCTGATGTTCTTGGTTTTAAAATACCACTAAATTATTCTTACAAAAGTACAACTTTTTTCCCATTTAACCGACTTTGTAACTCTTACGGTTTTTAAG